GTCACTTCACTGGGTGTGAGGGTTTACAACCACTTTAAAGTAGAACTATAGAGCAAACAGCCCACCCCCCCCCCCCCCCCCCCACCCCCCACCCCATTTCCCCCCCCACCCCCCCCCCCCCCCCCCCCCCCCCCCCCCCACCCCCCCCCCCCCCCCACCCCCCCCCCCATTTTGGATAGTGAGTAAGGGTAGATCCTAACCCAATCAGTTTTTTTGCCTCCTGTGTCCTATTGGGGAGATTTACCTTCACTTCCTGTCCCATAGCCAAAACAGGAAGTGAGGAAATCCCTGGTTGATACAAGAACTAGTGTCCCCATTGGGAGATTTCCCCTCTATTCATTTTCTGGGGACAACCCAAAATTTGGGATTTTTCTTTCAATGATAAAGGTAAAGAGGACAAAGTGAATCTCCCTAACAGGAGCACAGACAGCAATACATACCCAATAGGTGTTCTATACCCTCTGCAACTTTAGTTCTACTTCAAGGCCTCATGCACACTGGCACTCCTGTTTGTACCAGACCATACACTATACAATCACATTTGATAAATCTCATGAAGATTGTACAGAGATTGTTCAAACTATGTAACATAAGGACAAACCTGCGCAGTCCTTTCATTTTGCATCCAATCAGACAAGCCCTTGCAGTACATAGATGGTAGATCTAAAAGATTGTATGGTGTATGGCCAGTTTAAAAACGTAGGAGTTCATAGAAACATGTTCTGCTTCCCAGATCACTTTCCTTCATTTAACGGTTTCTAGCTTAAAAGCAGGTTTAGATGCATTACATAATTAGTCTGGCTGAAAAAAAAGACCAATGTCTATCCAGACATCCCTGGATAAACGTTGTCCAGGGATCCAGCAGTGTTCTTCAATCAGCTGTCGGGTGGCGGCGCTGCCATCTTGACTAAGGGAAACCAGCAATGAAGCCTTTCAGCTTCACAGCTGGTTTCCTACTGTGCATGTGCAAAGTGCGCTGTGCGAATGGCCCACAGTGCTCTGCGACCTGTGCCGTGTCCCAGAGGGCTGTGGGGGGGTTCCAAACTTCAGGCTCAGCTTGCCATGGTGGGTACCTGTCAAAACCAGGTAGCCCCTTCCCCCTCACAAAAGATACCAAATGTGGCAGCAGCAGGGGGGGTTGGTTTGGTGGGAAGCAGATAAGCAGAGCTGCCACTTTTGGGTGGAACTCAAATTTAAAATTTAGTTAGGCTTTAACCACATGCCACCCAGCCACTGTATAAATACGGAGGCAGGGGCAGGCAAAACCACGTTTAAACCGTGTGTTTTGTAAACAGGTAAGGGGCACGCGCGAGGCGCGCCGCCGCCCTACCTGTCCCCCCGATCACAGCCGCGGATGTCAGTCGCCGGGTCACAGCCGGTCCTTACCAGCTATCTCCCGGCGATCGGTGGCAATCAGTGACAGAGAGCACAGCTGCAGTAGCTGTGTTTTCTGTCACTTCCCTGACAAGCTGATCGGGACAGAAGAGTTTCTCTCTCCCGATCAGCCTGTCCCCACCCAGCACACACCCCGCCCCCTAGTAAAACACTCCCCTCACACAGTTAAACCCTTTCCCTGAAAAATAAAGTTAACCCCTTCCTCCCCAGTGCCATTAGTACAGTGTCAGTGTTTTTTTTTGCACTGATCACTGTATTGGTGTCACTGGGGATGTCAGTGACCCCAAGTCAGTACCCCCCAATGTCAGAATGTCCGCCGCAGTCCTGCCATAAGTCGCTGATCGCCACCATTATTAGTATAAAAAAAAATGAAAAATCCCAGTATCTTTCCCGCCATTTGTAAACGCTATAACTTTTACGTAAACCAATTAATTTACACGTATTGGGTTATTGGGGGGGTTTTAAGCAAAGACATGTCGCAGAATGCATTTTGGCAGAAAATTTATGACTAAATTTGATTTTTAAATTTTGTTTTTACTGGACATGTTTTATAGCAAAAAGTCCAAAATATTGTTTTTTTTTCCTCAAAATTGTCAGCCTTTTTTTTATAGCGCAAAAAATAAAAACCGCACAGGCGATCAAATACCACCGAAAGAAAGCTCAATTTGTGGGGGGGAAAAAAAAAAAAAAAAAAAAAAAAGGATGTAAATTTCATTTATGTACCGTATTGCATGACCGCGCAATTGTCCGTTAAACTAGCGCAGCGCTGTATAGCAAAAAAAAAATGGCGTAAATTGCAGTATCTATACCATAGTTTGTAGATGCTATAACTTCCACACAAAGCAATCAATATACACTTATTGGGATTTTTTTTTACCAAAAACATGGAGCAGAATACATTTTGGCCTAAATTTATAACCAACTTTGAGTTTACTATAAATTTTTTATAGCGGAAAGTAAAAAATATTGTTTTTCTTTAAAATTTTTGGCCTTTGTTTATAGCGTGAAAAATAAAAAGCGCACAGATGATCAAATACCACCGAAAGAAAGCTCTATTTGTGTGAAAAAAAGGACGTAAATTTAGTTTGGGTGCAGCATTGCATGACCGCGCAATTATCAGTTGAATTAGTGCAGCGCCGAGTAGCAAAAAGAGGCGTGGTCATTAAGGGGGGTAAATCCTCAGGAGGGCAAGTGGTTAAGGCACATCCTTATCTGCAGGTGTCAAAAGCAAGATTTTGGTTTCCAGTAGCAAGGCGGAATCATTTTGCATCCAGAGAGGTTCCAGGCTCAAAGAAATTTCCAAAGATTTATTGTAAAAAATCTGGTATAGAAACATCAAACACAATAAAATATGACAAAGATCCTAAATATGATTAAAAAAAGTACATAAATCGCATGGAGGTAGAACATTCCTGCGGGATGGTCCAGTGGAGAGGTCCTCTTGTGGATGAGACTTTAAAAGGCACGGGTTGATCAAACCATTCAACAGTTAAAAGGCAATCAATTTTTATTTATACATTTTAAAAATAAAGACATGAGTTACATTACAGAATATGGCGGTGTAGTCAAAGGCTGATATTCCAGTAACAATGTAGAGATCGGTCGTGCATGTATTGCACTTGACATGTTTCGAGACCAATCACAATATCTTCTTCAGAAGTGCTTAAGAGGCACAACGCACAGCCCCATATAGAGGCGGGAGGAATAGAGAGAACTGCCAAAAGGGTTCATTGACATGGATTGTCCATAAATACAGCCAAAAATTTCATGAGCCTCTGACGAAAAAAAGTTTTGCCTGTATTTATGGAAATCAGAGGCTCCTGAAATTTTTGGCTGTATTTATGGAAATCAGAGGCTCCTGAAATTTTTGGCTGTATTTATAGACCATCAATGTCCATTAATCCTTTGGTGGTTCTCCCTATTCCTCCCGTCCCTATATGGGGCTAGGGAGAACCACCAAAGGGTTAATGGACATTGATGGTCTATAAATACAGCCAAAAATTTCAGGAGCCTCTGATTTCCATAAATACAGCCAAAAATTTCAGGAGCCTCTGATTTCCATAAATACAGGCAAAACTTTTTTCGTCAGAGGCTCATGAAATTTTTGGCTGTATTTATGGACAATCCATGTCAATGAACCCTTTTGGCGGTTCTCTATTCCTCCCCCCTCTATATGGGGCTGTGCGTTGTGCCTCTTAAGCACTTCTGAAGAAGATATTGTGATTGGTCTCGAAACATGTCAAGTGCAATACATGCACGACCGATCTCTACATTGTTACTGGAATATCAGCCTTCGACTACACCGCCATATTCTGTAATGTAACTCATGTCTTTATTTTTAAAATGTATAAATAAAAATTGATTGCCTTTAAAAGGCACGGGTTGATCAAACCATTCTACAGTTAAAAGGCAATCAATTTTTATTTATACATTTTAAAAATAGACGAGTTACATTACAGAATATGGCGGTGTAGTCAAAGGCTGATATTCCAGTAACAATGTAGAAAATCGGTCGTGCATGTATTGCACTTGACGTGTTGAGACCAATCACAATCTCTTCAGAAGTGCTCAAGAGGCATAACGCATAGCCCCATATAGGGGCGGGAGGAATAGAGAGAACCGCCAAAAGGGTTCATTGACTAAAAAATGTTTGGTTTTGTTTCTGGAAATCAGAGGCTCTTGAAATTTTTGCCTGTATTTATAGACCATCAATGTCCATTAATCCTTTGGTGGTTCTCCCTATTCCTCCCGTCCCTATATGGGGCTAGGGAAAACCACCAAAGGGTTAATGGACATTGATGGTCTATAAATACAGGCAAAAATTTAATGAGCCTCTGATTTCCATAAATAAAGCCAAAAATGTTTTAGCCAATGAACCCTTTTGGCGGTTCTCTCTATTCCTCCGGCCCCTATATGGGGCTATGAGTTGTGCCTCTTGAGCAACTTCTGAAGAAGAGATTGTGATTGGTCTCGAAACATGTCAAGTGCAATACATGCACGGCCGAGCTCTACATTCTTACTGGAATACCAGCCTTTGACTACACCGCCATATTCTGTACTGTAACGTGTCTTTTTTTAAGATTGTATAAATAAAAATTGATTGCCTTTTAACTGTTGAATAAACCCGTGCCTTTAAAGTCCCATCAACAAGAGGACCTCTCCACTGTACTCTCTCAGGGATGATGGCACCTCTTGTATTGCATCCCTTCCCTTTTCTATTCATTCTAATTGGTCAGATTGACCATTTCATTCCTGAGACAAGTTCAGAACCCCAAATATTACCAGTCGAGCTCACTCCAAACATCCACCATCGGTCTGGGTTCAGCTGCATGAGATGGAGTCAAAAATCCCATCTGACAACATTCCACCGAATTAAACTCATTTTATCGTAAAAATTAAAGGATACCCCAAATCTGCTTAACTGATACATTCATATTCTGGGAGATCTGCTGCTGGTCCCGTCACACTTGTGTAGCTGCAGAGCGTTCAAATGGGATTTCAAAGACCCAAGAGCAAAGCGTCAACCTGACCCAACACAATCCAGTATTACCGGCTTGGTTGGGCGCACCATAGGGAGGCAAGTGCAATGAGTCGAGAGCCAGGCTCACTGTGCTGTGTAGGACGTTTGCCCTGAAGAGTGAACCCGGCAAAACTCCTGGCCGCTGCTGGCTTTTGTTTCGGCATGGCTGGCCGGCTCTGGTGGTGGCCTGGCAGAACTGGCGTGGGGACATTGAAGAAACAGAACTGGAAGGCAAAAAGAAAAAAAAAAAAAAAAAAAACTTGGTAAAGCGAAGGAATGCCCGCGCACATCTTTCAGGTCAGCGAGTCAAAACCGGAGGATCACAACCAGGAAACTAGCATTTTCACAAAGGTCAGCAAGGGCTGTCTCCATATTTCACCGACAAGTTCACTCTTTGAAACCTAATGCAGGCCATACTGAGTTACAATTTTCGAAAGAAAGAAAACTTTCGTAATTCGACCCAAGAATTTTCGATTGAATTTCGCACCATTAGTGGGCGGCTGCATTGGCCGATTTTCATGCAGCCATCTAATTTGTGTGATCGGGCGTGTTGAAAATGTTTTGAAAAAACAAATGAATTTCGAATCAATGATGGGAGAATTGTGCAAGAGACATTTAAAAAAGAAATGAGCACGAGCTGTGACCTGGAAAGAAAAGAATCCTAGCTTCGGAAATTCTTTTCTTTAGCACCACGGAGGTGAAATGGATGCCTTGGTTGGTTGAATATCGAAATCAAATGGTGGCACGATTGGATGACAAAATGCATGAAATTTCTGATTTTCTAAAGCACATTCGTTCAGAATTCGACCCAAGTATGGCCTGCATTAGTTTAACCTCCCTGGCGGTCTGATTATTTCAGATTTTTGGTGCTGAAAGCGGTACTATTATTTTGCATGGAAATTTGGCGTTTTATATTGTAGGCCTGTAATTCTTTGGAATAACTCACTGAAATCTGTCCGAACAAGAGTCTAATAAACATCCCGGGGAGGATCAAATTTGAAACACAAAATCATAAATTATTTAATAAATAATCATAAAAAATAATAAATTTAATTCAATAATATAATCAAACCAAAAACACTGAAATGTGAAATATAGCGCCAAGTTCGCACATCGCTGAGCAAAGTCGTTTTCAGTGTCTGATGAGGAATTTCCCCCACGAATCATTATCACTCAATTCTGCAAGTGGTTCTGATTTACTATCGCTGTTCTCTAGCCGGTCTAAAACCGCGTCTGACCTAAAGGGACGCTTTTTGGACGCCATGGACGTTTCTCAGTTTCCAGGCAGAAAGAACAGTAAAAAGTAGGCAGGGCGCCGGACAAAATGTATGTGAAATGGTTGGATACAGGAATGTTATACTATGTGATTTTAGTGTATTTAGTGAATGTCATTTTTTGTCATTTTCAAATTTCCCACCAGTTCCGTCCCCCGTACGTCCCGACGTCGCAGGGAACGGAACCCAGATGACAGATGCCGGCATCCGCCGGAGGACATTGCTGGGGACACTGCAGGGGGGACATCGCGGGAGCGCAGGACAAGGTAAGTGCAGAAGAGATCCCGGAGCAACGCTGCAGTGTATTCCCGAGTGTAGTTCGGGGGGGTTACCACTTGTGGTGCTGAAACTTTACCCCGAGCTACACTCAGGAATACCGCCAGGGAGGTTAAATCAATTCCAGGTGCATCAAAAATGGGTGCAAAGTCTCTCAATAAAAAAAAAAAAAAAAAAAAAAAAAAACTTTCCGACGCTGTGACTGATTGGAGTGTAGTGGATATTCAGAACAGACTCGGCAGAGGAGGGGGGTCAGTCAATAGTAACACAATATTGTGAGAGGCGTACCCAACCCTTTCACTGCTCACAGGTCACCATTTTCCTTTATTCCCTGCCATCAACCAAGTGCCAAAGCCCTGCTCTTGTACCACTGCAATCTACTGTCCAAATAACGGGCTGCACACCAAAGACTGTCAACTCCAGCCAAGGTTTACTGCAATGATAGCCCAGGATTAAGCCCTGCTCTGGGTGAAACATGTTGGGGGTATGGCTTTGGGGAGGGTGAGCGGTGTGCTGTCATTGCAATAAACCTTGGCTGTAGTTGAAAGTCTACGGGGTGCAGTCCCCTTTAGTCCTGCACAGCCCAGCAACACGCATTTCCTTCCAGCCTTGCACTCCCAGAGACAGTAAACAGTCCTCCTTGAACTTGCTTTTTTTAATTTTATTAAGGGGTCGATAACTTGGATGGGGGTTGAGAGATGCATGGGATGCCCAAGGAACTGTTAAACTGAGCACAACTTCCTGGAAGTACAAATTCTCAGAAGGGTTCCTCTTTAGCAAGCTATCCAGCCTCTCCAGGTGTACCTCAGACCCCAGATGAAATCTTCTCTTTACCCAGCTGCCTTAGGGAATCCCTGGGCAAGGGGACTCAGAAGCTGCCATTTTAAGATCAACAGTCCCAGATGGGGGCTAATCCAGTTTCCCACCAGAATGCCTGTTCTCATCTGGGGTGTGGGATTTACTTACTTAGTCCTCTACAGCAAGTGTGGGTTGGTGACTGCCTTCAGAACTTATGCTGGGCTGGCTCCTTCCCTGCTTCACAGGCTGTCCTCTCTCCAGGGACCGTTTAGGCTGAGAGATCCTCTGCCTGTAGGTAGGCCCCTCTCCTGGACTGCTCCCAGGCGCCACACTCCATCTTCCACCCGAACTCTCCTGCTACGGAGTAGGCTCAAGCACTCTTAAGGGCTGTCCTGACCCTATGCCAAGCCTCCTACTTGGGGATTGGTCAGGATCCCTTAAGTGTGCAGACCAGCTTCTCCTCACCCTCGCCCACTGAGGTCTAGAGACTTCTCCAAGTCTCTAAATCAAGGGGAGGTATCAGAGCGCTAATCTGCAGAGCCTCTCAGCCCTGACACATGTGACCCCATTGACTATCTCCATGGCTGCTATTCAGCCTAACTAAAAAAAATAATTATCTAGCTCCCCTGGCTAACTAGGAGGGTGCTACACTGCCATCACCATGTGTCTAGGTGGGAATACTGAGACTGGCCACAACAGCGGTTGTCAACTTATGAGCGAAAAGGGGGCCTCAAATGCGGCTCCTGACATCACCAAAGGGCTGCACATAATGTTCATAATATGTAATGCTTGAGGGCTGTGTCAGACTGCAGACCTAATAGAGGAAATGAGGGTCAGAGGGTGGGGACAATAAAAGGAATTTAAATAAGTTGAAAAGAGAAAGAATAACCTATCCCCACTCTCAGAGGTAAGTACACTCATGAAAACCCCTTTTATTCACATAGTGGAGCTTCTGTACATTGGAGCTCCCAACTTACAGTAGTAAAAAAAAACAACAAAAAAAGACTTGATACTCACAGGTTACTGGACATCGAGCTATTTGGACTGTAATTCTTGGACTCTGAAAGTGCATCGAATGCAGCACCCAGGTGCCTCTGGGGTATTCTGTCCTGGGCCACCTGCTGGAAAAAGAAAAAAAGAAAAAGACCACATAGTAAGGGGCCTGTTATACTACGGATTCTGAATCACCCTTCCTGGCTATGCAATCAAGATGTTGCTCTTTCAGAGATTCTGTAGCATTGTAGACTTACAAAGCTGTCCACCATACTGCCCCGAACTACATCACTGACCTAATATCCAAGTACCACCCAACACGCACACTCCGCTCCTCACAAGACCTCCTCTCTAGTTTCCTGGTCTCCTCCTCCCATGCCCACCTCCAGGACTTCTCCAGGGTGTCACCCATCCTCTGGAACTCCCTGCCCCAACCCATCAGATTATCACCTACTCTCCTCTCCTTTAGGCGCACCCTGAAAACCCACCTCTTCAGGGAAGCCTACCCCCCCCCTGCTAACTTGCCGACCTCCTCCACTCCTCCTACCACTCCATCCCCCACAGCTATCTCCTCCTCCACTCTTCCTACCACTCCATCCCCCACAGCTATCTCCTCCTGTACCACCATCCCCTCCCTCCTAGATTGTAAGCTCCAAAGAGCAGGGCCCTCAATCCCCTCATGTTTTGCATTGTATTGGTATTGTTCTGTCACATGTTCTGTCCCCCTTTGTAATGTACAGCGCTGAGCGAACTATTGGCGCTTTATAAATACTGTATAATAATAATTGTAGCCAGTGGGTTATCAATGAAACTACTCACCACCTTGGAGGGGCTGTCATATAAACGTAAGGATTTCGTGATGCTGATTCTGCGAAGCTTCATAGCTGGAGTAGACTGACCACCAGGAGTCCTCAAACCATGCAGCACCTTCCAGTCTGCGTGTGTCGGAGATGCGATGATTGACACATCTTTCACCAAAGAGTCATTATCCAGCACTGAATCTGCAAGATGAGGAAAAAACCCCCCCCAAAAAAACACTAATTCGTTACAGTATATCTATTACACATTCCCTAAGCTGTGCAGATGAATGTTTTAGGTGGAGTCTGGTGGGGCCAAGTCATCTGCCAGCTTTGGATGGGTTATCAAGGGGTAAGATCTCCTTCCCTTGGTTCCCAGCTCCGTTACTGACCACCATGAGGTCATGGGTGCTTCTGTTCCTCCTTGATGGAAGAAATAAAAATT